GAGCCCAAGGCGGCTTACAAAATATTTTAAAGGGGAATGCAACCAAAAAAAACCCATAATAAACGGTGGTATGAAAAGCAGCTGCCCTTCTTTTCAAACTAAAACAGCTGCTGAGTAAAAACTGTTAAAAACACGACTGGAAAAAGGGTCGTCTCTTCTGTAGCCACCAGCCAGTTGCCAAAAGCCACCCTGAATGAATAGGTCTTTGGCTTCTGGTGAAAGCACAGCACAGCTTCTAGTGGAAGGGAGTTCCACCGGCAGGGCACTGCCACGGTGAAGGGCCTTTCTCAAAACTCCTCACCGGATGTGCCTTTTAGGGTGGCTCAGCAAGAGAAGGATTTTCCCCCAAGACCTACCAGCCTGTGGGGGGAACGGGTACGAGGCGACGGGGCCCTCCAGGAAGGCTACACCCAAGCAGTTTTTCCCTAGGCTGTGTTTCTCTGTTTTCATCTCATGGTGGGCCGAGGCGTTTGCCAGAGTTTTAGCCTCAGGTGGCCAAACCTGCTGGGTGGCTTTAAAGACATGCCCTATTAGGGGAGAGTTAGGGTGAATGATTTGCTGCTCTGCCTCAGGCATCAAAATTCCTTGGGTCCGCTGGGTATCTCTCCAATAACGTGGGTGGCTTTCGATGCTCTGCCCCTTGGTTTTGGTGGGCAAAGATGCCGTCAGGTCCTCTGGCAGGTCGAAATATGTCTTAGATAGGCACTAAGACTAGCCTTTCCCCCCTCCTCCTCTGGGGTCTCCGGTGATGATGGATTACAACTACCACAATCCCCAGCTGGTAGCCAGTCACCTCTGGAAGGCCTTTAGTTGAGAATTGTGATGTATGGGATTTATAGTTGTTGTTGTTATTGTTGTTGTTGTTGCTATGTGCCATGGAAGTCACCTCCAACTTACGGAGATCCTATGAATGAGCCCTCTCCAAAATCCCCTGTCTTTCAACAGTCCTGCTCAGCTCTTGCAAAACCAAGCCTGTGGTTTCCTTGAGGCAGTCTGTCCATCTCATATTGGGTCTTCCTCTTTTCCTGCTGCTTTCCACCTTTCCCAGCATTATTGTCTTTTCCAGAGAATCCTCGCCTTCTCAGGATGTGCCCAAAAGTAGGACAGCCTCAGTTTCAGCATTTTTGCTACCAGAGAAATTTCAGACTTGATTTGCCCTAGGACCCACTTTTTGTCTTTCTAGCAGTCACATCCACAAAGCTTTCCTTCAGCACCATATTCGAAACAAATCATTTTTTTCCCTGTCCCATGATTATAACTATCATGACCTGTCAAGTCACCTTCAACTTAGCATGACCCTAAGAGGAAGTTTTCAGTATGTGGCCAGTTTTTTTTCCCATCAACTGGCACTTACAGTCTCAATAACTCATTCTGAGACAGGAGTAAAAAACAATCAAAAGTTTCATTACTTACAATTGAACAGATGAAACAGCAAACCGGCAACCATGACTGCTTTCAACAGCCTGAGGCCGATTGCTCTTAAGGGTGGGTTGTCATGGAGGTAAATGCAAATATATATATCTGGGTCCCACTCCGGAGCAGCTTGTCACAGATTCCCTTGAGCCAAGCAGGAAGGAACAAATGAGCCAGATCAAATCATCATCCTCATGTGCTGTCAAGTCAATTCTTACTTAGGGCGACCCTTTTCAGAGTTTTCCAGGCAGTTTTGCCAATCCTTTCTTTTCCGCAGCTTGCCCAAGGCCACCCAGGCTGGCTCTTTTCCCCCCAGTGAGGATTCGAATTCCCAACCTCCGGCTTAAACCACTGAGCTATCCAGCCAGCTGCATTTATACCTGGCCAGATGAATTTGGGGCAACGTGCGACCAACGGACAGAAGCCACAGACGTGGTAACCCTCCAGTTGATTCCCCTTTGACCTGTGACCCTTTCGCGTCTGCACCACACCCTTATGGGATGATCGCTGTAACTTGCCGGGGCTGCATCTTGCAAACCCCCCTCCCCGAATGCTTTATTTGAGAAGGGACTTAAAAGTCTTTGCTCTCCCCTGAATGACAGAGGAGAGTTCGAAATGCGTCCCCAACCCACGTAGCATCCAAAAAAACCAGAAATCCATCGGGAGGAGCTGCAACATTCAGCGTGGTCTCCAATATCCCCAACCCTGTCACGTTGACACACATCTGGAGGATAGTGTGATGTCACCAGGGTGCAAAGGTCAGCTGCCGATGAGCCAGCTTTGCAGGAAAGGGAGGAGGAGGTGGCGCTTCGGACTTTGCTCCGGGCAGATAATGTCTGGGATCAGTCCCGTGTGCGAGGTCTCACCTTTCTGCCAAAAATATATATCTAGAGAGAAAAATCCTTCCACTGAAGAAGGCGAACAAGAATTTAAAATAAAGAAAACCGACAGAAACATAAAGCAGGCGTAAATTATTATTAAAAACAGATCAAGGGGGGAGGAAGACCCCCTTCCCTCTAAAATCCAGCTAAATGCTGGATGAATCGAAACGCCTTTTCTTGCTTTTTCTTCTCTGCTGCCGTCTTCCCTGTTGTTCACCGTGAGCATCTCATAACTGGCTTTGCATTTCCCCTTAGACTCAATTCTCCTTGTATTTTTAAGCATTTATTTCCCCCCCCCTTTTTTTTTTGCCAGGGGCTATGGAGTGGTATATAGATGATGTAGCTAACCAATACAAAAATTAATCATTGGATGATCACAGTACGATAGGATAGGGGGATCAGTAAGTATAAGATTGAGGCATTATAGATTCCACCTTTTGGATGATGGAGAAAGTCTGTCCTCATTTCAGACAAAATCCTTTTTAACTAAGTGAACTGGTTTGGGTCTTACAGTCTGCATCTTGGAAGCAATGCGTTGGGCGCCATCTTGTAATTCCTGGCCTCGGAGGGTCAACAATCTCGCTTTCTAGCATTATAAGGAGAATGTAGCAAACTTTACATTTCTTAAACAGCAGCATAAGAGTTTCTGAATTTCTGGTAAACCTCTTTTTATCTAGGCAGTAGAAATCGCCTTGCAGAGAATAGCTAAAACTTCCTAGTCCACCCCATTCTCATTAATTGACTCTTACGGCCCCAATAGCTCACTTTGAAACATTTATAGGAGAAAGAAAGAAAAAATATTTCATTGCTTACAGCTGTGAGCAGATCAACAGCAAACGAACAACCAGCTACAGCATAAAGAGAGGGAAAGAGACACAGAGCAGAGAAGCCGGGCTCTCTTTGAATTCAGGGGCGGGAAGGAATAATTGGCTAGTGCTGGATAAACTGACAGTCGTCCCAGTGCAGAAAGGTCCCTCCCAGCCACTGAAGCCACAGGCAGCATGCGAGGTTGCAAATAAAACTCCGACACATTTTATATCGAAGCAACCCAGAAAGCCCATCAAATGTGTTGGCTGTTAACTGTGTTGAGGACTAGCAACTTAGGTGCATGCTTTGCAAAAGAGTGGAGAAGCCATTCATGTCTCATTCCGCAGGCTGGGCGGTTGTAACATCCCTGGGGCACCCTGACCCCGTTCAAGAACCTTTTCCAGTGTTAGGAAACTATGGGTAGCCGGTGTTGGTTGCTTCAGAAATTATTAGCCTGAGCATGTGAGGAAATGTGTCTGGGTGTGATAGCATTGGGTTAAAGCTGAGGAGGACATAGTTCATGGTCGTCCCTCGAGAGTGAAGGAATGCAGCCGGTCTGGGAGGAAATGCAGCAGTGAGCGGTTCTGCTTGACTCTAGTAATCCAGCAAGAGTAACGCTTAATAACGTTGGGGTTTTGTTTGCCACCTTGCATGCTGTCTATGGTTTGAAGTGACTCTTTATCTATGGAGCGCTAATTAATCATTCCTTCCTGCCCTCCGATTCAAAGAGAGTCCCGCCTCTCCGCTGCGTGCTCTTTCCTTCTCTTTCAGAAATTGGCGGCCGTTGTTTGTTTGCTGTTGATCTGCTTGGTTGGTTAAGTAGGCGTGCAGTAAAGAAAGCGGCAAAGACACGTCTGTAATTTTTTCTAGCAGTTATAAGTTTTTAGAAAAAGGTCTTTATTCTTTCTCCTACACATGTCTATGAGTGCATTATGGAAACCTTAAGTGGCAGTTAATGAGAAAAGGGGTGGACCATCTAGAGAACTTTTACCTATTCTCCTCTGTGAATCTCTGTACTTCTACTGCATAGCAAAAAGGTCATTCTACGAGAAACTCTAAACTCTGCAACAAACAAATCACACATTAAAGAAGTGTACAAAGGGCTTACTCCCTCGTAACCACACACAGGATTGCAGGCTCAAAAGTATGAACTGTTTCAATGGTTCAGGTGATGGTTTATATTGTCTATTCTGGGTGTTGGGCAGACAGATGGCACAGCAGCCAGGGGGAGAATATTTATTTTTACCACAGCTCCGCAGGTTGCAGCATTTTCATGTTTACTAAAAAGTAACTAAAAGTAACTACTTTAGTTGCTTTTGAGAACCAAGAAAGTAAAGTGTTATTTTTTTAACAAAAGAAAACAATACTTATTATTTTATTTATCATTAATTGAATTGATATTCCGGGTGTCCTTCAGAGAGCTCCAGGCAATACTCATCATGATGACCCTCTGTCTTGCTATGTGATCATGGAAACAACCCTGCAAAGTAGACCTGGGTGAGAGACTGTGATTGTTCCAAATTATTTTATAATCACGGACTGGCAATACGGACTGGCTTAATGAATTACTTTTTTAGAAGCAACTTTCTATGCCCCACCCGGTCGTGTAGTCCTGTTGAACAGCCAACCATGGGAATAAGGGGCGAGGGTTAGACTAGATGTCCTTTTGGTGCCTCTTGATGCATCCGCGCACACCCAAGCTCTCCCTTTCACACACACACCCATGGAACCCGGACCTGCTCCTTCCGCTGATGTCACCTGAACGCAATCCTCGGCTCCTTTGGCCAGATTGCCCAAGAGCCCAAACGGCTCAACACCTCGTGCTGCCTGACGCAACGGGGCCCGTCCGGTTGGCAACCACTCCCTTTTCCTGTTCAAAGTCCTGTCCAGGGCGTCTGTAAATCAAGAGCAGAAAGGCAGACCAGGCATTACCCAGAAGAGGCACGCCGCTGCTGCGAGGGCAAAGCGACCCAGGTGGGAAGGCGCATTCCGTACACGACAGGGGTGGGCGGGCGGAGAGGTGGGTGCGGTTGAATTGGAGAGGGAGAAAGGAATGGCCTGGCTCCCAGACCCCGCGAATGCATGCCTCCTCTTGAGAGCTGTAGTTCGTTTCCACTGTCCTTGGTACAAAGAAAGATGTGGAAATTAAAAACACCTCTCTCTAATAGGGGATGTCATGTCTAACTCACAATTGTGGCTCTTTGTCGTTGTTGCTAAGTGCCGGCGAGTCGCCTCCGACTTAGGAGGGCCCTATAGATAAGTGATCTCCAAAATCTCCTGTCCTCAACAGTCCTGCTCAGCTCTTCTAGACTCTTGTGGTTTCCTTTAGGGAGTCGGTCCATCGCGTATTCAGTCTTCCTCTTCTCCTGCTGCCTTCCACCTTTCCCATCATTCTTGCTTTTTCCAGAGAATCCTGCTTTCTCAAGATGTGCCCAAAGTAGGACCGCCTCACTTTCATCCCTTTTTGCCTCTAGAGAGAATTCAGGCTTGACTTGACTTAGGACTTCTTATTTCTTACTGTTTATATATTTAGTCGATTCCATGGGTTTGAATGGTTTTATCTGCTTTGAATTATTTTATGGGCCAATCTGGATTTTTTTTGTGTTTTTGTTTTTATTGCTGCATGGGGGTTTCCTGTTGCCTTTCTAATGGAAAGGTGGAGTATCAATGTAATTATTGCTACTAATTATAACATTAATAGAGGAGACTTCCTTTGTGGAACCTGAGCAAGAGAAAAGTTTTCTGTCAAGAACAGTTTTCTCATGGCCTTTGTTTTGCATTTTATTTTATTTTATTAATCTATCCAGCTTTAATTTTAACCAATAGAATACATTGCATGTTGTGCTTTTATCTGTTATATGATGTTGGTTTATTGTTTTAGTTAGTATTGTGCACCACCCCAGAGCGACTGTTTGGCCAGATGGGAGGTCTAAACGTTTTTTTAAAAAAAATAAAAGAAATAAATAAAAAGAAATTTAAAATATTTTTGTGCTGCCTGACGCTTCATGGATCCAAGACGTCTTATAGTATTTTTTTTAAAAAAAAACCTCTCAGGCAGCCAGTCAATTAAGGGAAAGCTTGCCTGAAGAGGGAGGTTTTCGCCTGCTTGCGGAAAGACAGCCAAGATGGGGTCAGGCTGGCCTCCAGTGGGAAGGAGTTCCAGAGTCTCGGGAGCAGCCACAGAGAGGCCCTTCTTGTGGTCCCACCACCTTCCCAAGCTTGTTTGGTTGCTGAGGACATGAGACGGGGCCTTCTCGGTGGCAGCCCCCAGTCTTTGGAAAGCCCTGCCCCGAGAAGCCAGATTAACCCCCTCCCTCTTCTCCGTCAAACAAAGACCTTCCTCTTCAGGCTGGCTTTTAAGCCACAAGTGGGTGTTCTCTGGAATGCTCTTATTTATTAACAGGTATTTTAAAAACATTTTTCAAAATGTGTTTTGTGATCTATTTTCAATTTCTTTTTTAATCCAGTTTGTAATGGTCTTTTAAAAACTGTTGATCACTGTGTCGTTTTAATTGTGAGCCACATCGGATCCCCTGTATAAATAATATAATCAAGTGAACAAGCTTTTTTTTTCCTTCCCTACAGCTCAGCAAAACTCCACTTGGAAGGATGGATTATGCCAAGAAATCCCTGTTTCTCCTGTCTCCACGCTCTCTCTCGAAGTAAGGAAAAAGAGCTGTTTTATTTTTATTTTTAATTTTATTTTCGCCTCTTTCTTATCTTAGGTTCCTGCACAATTTTAATGACTCTTAAAGAGACCAGTTTTGGTGCAGGTTCTTTCAACGTCTATGCTTTTTTTATATGGTCTTGCATAAGAGCTGCTTTTCGAGAGCCATTCTCCTCAAATATAATGATTTCCCCCCGTTTTCCCTAATGAAAACATTCTTATGGGCCACCTCCCTCAATATTTCACTTCTGGACAGGTTTCTATATAGAAATGGAAAATAGCAAATAGCATTTATGTTTAAAGGCTTCTGCTTTGAGTACTGTTTTAACTGGTTATTTAATATTTTGTGTGTATATGTTTGAATGATTTTCTTTTTTAATTTTTAACACACTGGTTTGATTTTCTTTTCTTTTTCTTTTATCTTGGACACATTATTTAAAAATAGCGTTTTAGATATTTCCATCAAGTTACACGCTACCTACATCATACTAAAATTAGAAAAGAATGTGCAATTTAGGTAAATCTGCTATAAAATCAGTAGTGCCGTACTAAACTCTTGAGATGCAGGCACTCATCCAGGTAGTTTCCTCTGCGCTACATGGAAGACCAATGCAGGCATATCAATAAATCGGCTGTACCCATTTGGAGACCCACTAGGAGCGGGTCTTTTGTACAGCTAATGGGTCTTGCCTGCCCATTCGAGATCAAGGTACCCAAAGTGCTTTGCAGCAGGGATATCTCAGAGCAATGTACAATTGGAAGGGAAATCCATCATCCTTGGAGAGGCTGGGGCTGTGTTCTCTAAAACCTCTCCCCTGATATCATTTGGCTGTTTTCTACTCCCCCCCCCCGAAAGCTGGC